ATTGCAACAACTTCGCGAACTACAATTACATTAATTATAGAAGACCCATTCCCATTTTTTATACTAGTTTAAAGTACACAAGTTGTACACGAAACTGATCTATATTTTAGAAAAGGACCCCTTTTAGCCTATCAGAAATATAGCTGTGAATATCGTTGATTATCGTTTAAAAAAGCTAGTTTTCGAGACAAGCAAAAGAAGTCTCAGCAAGTCGAGGAAAGAAAAACTTGCTTTTTTAAACGATATTCACAGCAATATTACCCCATGAAAAATGGTAGAGTGACCGGAATTACCCCAAAGCACATATCTCTAAAAAATGACTATGTCTTTTGATTTCCCTAATCTGGAATTAACTAATTAATGGTAAGTATGACTGCAGTGCGAATTAGACAGGTGGATAGAACTCACAATTCTGCATATGATGGTCTAATTTTTAATTACAAAGGTGAAAGTTCACCGTTGAAAAAAGTTGGTTTAGTTTTGTACCAGCCATTTTGGCTGTGTTGACCGGAATTACCCGAACGGCAACCGTTCACTGACCGGAATTACCCCAAATGGGGTAATTCCGGTCATTTAATACCAGCCGACTAGAAATTGATCAGAACTAATTATCTCTAATGAATATTAACATGATTTTTGCATCAGTCGATAGCTAAGAGTCAGATCTATCTACCTGTGCAAAACCGTTTTTTTCTGGTTAAAAATGACTTAGCTATGAGCAAAATACTGAAAAGATTTCTGACATTGACCGGAATTACCCCGAGGCACTCTATTTCATTGCCATGAAAAATTAAAGAAATTTTTAATGAATAAATCACAAATACAAATAGAAGAAAATCCAAATGTACAATTTAGTTTACACCTTTATCTTCGTCATTGTATTCGTTCCACATATTATACGTCGTTTATTAAATGTGATGATAAATATTGTGTAGATTGTCCTCGTTATCCAATTCGTGCTACAAAAACAATATCTTTACTTCGTGCTGGTGGTGGATATATCCCTTGGCCAACAATGACATTTAGTAATAAACATTATGATACGTTTTTACAAAGAACATATTCAATATTATCCGGTGAAAAAAATCTTTATCCAGATGAAAATTTAATGACAGGATCAAAAGTCAAATGTTCAAAATGCAAATTGCCATACGTATTTCTCTCAAAAGCAGATGAAGACAGACATAATCAGTGGATCCATACACCAAAACAGAAACTCAAAAGATCTTCAACTCAAGCAAATAAAATGTTAAAACGAAGAAGACGTTCTCTTTCAATTGAATATTAATTAAGACGTTTGTCACATCAATATTTAATCATTGTCATTATTTTGATTAGTCAAGTTGAGAGAATTTGAATAAATTTACCTACGTAAAGAAATTTTTATTCTAAAGTATAAAATTCATTCTTTTCCGACAAAATGAATGGTCTACAGTTTAATAATATTGAAAAGAAATAGCAAAATAAATTTCATGTATACGTATACATACATCAAAAGAAACCGATAATATATCGAAATGTCATTAAAAATAATCCGTTATGCCGCGGCAGAGCGGCAGAGAGAACGGCAAGAATTTTGAAACGCTCCCTTAGCTAGGTAGTTAATTAGACAGATCGAAAGGTATCTATTTATCGGAGTGTGTATCGATATCTGATGTTTTTCGTATCATTTGCACGGTCAAAAAGAAGTGCGTTAAAACTCCTGAGTATTTTCGACGCTTTTGGATGGTAATCTCGGTTCCCGAGTATGAGTTAGTACCCAAGCAGACAAACTTTCTCAAACACGCGTGTAAACACCAGAAAGTAGCCTTTTCTGAGCGTTTTAAGGCGTGTGGAAAAAAGTGGTCGTGTAAACACTATGAACTCACGATTTTTCAGTGTGTACGCGCCAAATTTCTTAGTATTTAATATTTCTAGACGTGCAAACGTCAAAACTCCAGCGTTATGGCCGTGTAAACGCACTGTCAATCCGACACGCGTTTAAACCATCGCAAACCACAACTTTCTCGCGTTTCCCTACACCATTATAATTCGCACTATTTTAATTGTAATTGGTAACCGTGTTAACGCTTCGAACATGGACAAAAACAGCGTTTTTCTAACGTACTATTTCCGTCGTTATTAATTTTTCAAATTCAAGCGTTAAAACAGCCTGTTTGATGAAAAAGTCATCATTTGTTGAAATCAAATTTTTGATGTATAGTTAGATTAAGAAGAATTCAAATTCGGTTTTTTGATGTGTACGTTCATTGTGTAATTGCCAAAACGATACGAGTTTACATTGAAGATTGATCTAAATGTAACAAGAGCCATAGGCGTTAGGAACACGAACTAATATAGCTTCAACAAGTAGACATCGACCTTAGCAAGAAAGAATTGCAAGCGAATACTTTCGCTCATATATCTTGAACCGTCAAAGTGCTAATCCTGGTAGTAGAAGCTGTAGTAACTTTGTTTTATTTAAGTACTTTCTACGGTATTAGGGAACTGAGAAAAATGAAACAGGTTGTTTTCTTTTTTGTAAGCAAGTTTGACAATGATGTGTTCGATATGTATTATAGCCAGTTGAGGTGGATCCGTTGTTTGTCCCCAAAATATGAATGGATTGACGACGCATCTTTTCTTAAATGTAAGAGTATCGCGGCGAATGATGCGTATCTTATTGATGACAAGACGATATTCGTTGGTCGAAAGGCATACAATTGCTACTATAAAACCACAACTAGTGTCATTATGTCCGCTTTCAAACAATAAACAGGAATCGCAATTTTAGGTAAGAGAATTTGTATCATACATCAAGAACCGCACGTTATTTTTCCAACATGCTGCGTGAATATAAAATGGTAGATTGTAGATGGTTTTCAGGTGTGTCATCACAACATGATTGTTAGGTAACTCAAACCGTCCAGTCGAAGACGGGTGGTTACCTGTTTGGAGGTTACACAATGGTTCCGTGGAGCTCGCCTATAAATGAAAGATATGTTGACGATCCTCGAGCATTTTTATTTACCTAAACGAATTCCCACAACATTCCAGCGACAAAATTTTATATTGATCAGAATCAATTGGAATATTCCGTGTGTCATGATACCAGCAAAGGGCGTTCGAGAAAAGAGATCTTGTTGTTGAACATAATACGAACTCTTTTGATTATGACTTCTCGGGATGCTCATACGGCTCATTCTCCGGATCTTATATTGATACAACCGGTATGGGAGACAGGCTTTATCCGAATTGGACTGCATTGGAAATTGAGGTTTACAAACTAAGCGATTAAAACTGATGAATGCATAGTTTTAGCCTTTTTTTGAACCTTGTACTTCTTGCGACTTTTTTTTGTAATTTTTAAAAAAGATGCATGT